TTGTCAGAAACTCTGCCTTGGACAGAAGCAGCAGCCCAGGGAGAGCGCAAGGTAATCTGGCCTCAGTGATGAGCTTTGGAAGAGTCCCAGAGGAGTGTGGCTCAATAGCCGCTACCCAGTCCTGTGGTGCAGGGGAGGAGAGGTCTGGGGAAGTGGGGCTTAACAGCTCAGATTGGCAGGAAGAGGAAGCCTTTGCTTCTCCCTTAAAAAAAAAAAAAAAGCCAATACTTTTGGGGGCAGGGAGGAAGTCACATGAAAACCTCCCTTGGAGATTTCTGAATGGTCAGTTTGGCATTATCTTGATTGGAAGGTGATGAAAGAGAGAAGACCAAGTATAGGAAATGTCCACCCATGGGGTGCATGGGTAGCTCAGTTGGTTTAAGCATCTGACTTCGGCTCGGGTCATGATCTCGCGGTCTCTGAGTTCGAGCCCCGCATCAGGCCCTGTGCTGACAGCTCAGAGCCTGGAACCTGCTTTGGATTCTGTGTTTCCTTCTCTCTCTGCCCCTCCCCCACTTGTGCTCTGTCTCTGTCTCTCTCTTTCTCAAAAATAAATAACCATTCGGGGCGCCTGGGTGGCTCAGTCTGCTGAGCATCCGACTTCGGCTCAGGTCATGATCTCATGGTTCATGGGTTTGAGCCCCACGTCAGGCTCTGTGCTGACAGCTAGCTCAGAGCCTGGAGCCTATCTTCAGATTCTGTGTCTCCCTCTCTCTCTGACCCTCCCCTGCTCATGCTGTCTCTCTCTCTCTCTCAAAAATAAATAAAACATTATAAATAAATAAATAAATAAATAACCATTTAAAAATTTTTATTAAAAAACAGAACGAAGCCAGCCTGGCCAGCACCTTGGTCTTGGACTTCCAGCCTCCAGAACTGTGGTGAAATTAATTTCTGTTGCTGAGCCCCCCAGGCTGCCTTCTTTCATGGCAGCCCTTGCGGACTGATACAGGTCACTTGCCCAAAATCTTTTGCGTGGCAAACGGAAGAACTGGCATTTTAATGCAGCCCGCTCTTCACAGTGGCTCTTGCCGAGACAGCGTAAGAGAGGGTCCTACTGGAGCGGGACGATGGTCGCGGGAACTGCCAACGCGCGCGGCCACGTGGCCTGCACCAGCCCACCGCGTTGAGCGCTTTGTGTGGACTATCCGTGTAACACCAACAGCAGCCCCGTGAGGTTGGTGCCACGACGGCCCTGGTTTCCTAGGGCCGCAGGAGGATCCCAGGGCCCTCGGCGCCAGCTGGGAACACCACGCTCTACTACAAGTAATCGCCGCCGTGAGAGACCATTTTGCTTTGGTCAGCTCCTCCACTTGGCCAGAGGCTGTCCATCTCCGCCTTCCAAGGGAGGTGACACCGTGCAGTCAAGTAATAATTAAGCCCCCATTTCCCTGAGGAGGCCTTTGAAATAAATGAGGGGTGGTTTTCTGGCGAAGACATCACAGCCTTGGAGGGAAAAGGCGGGGCGGCCCCGCCCTGGTGCGCAGGGAGGAGGAGGAGGAGCTCTGTTAGAGGGCGGGACCCAGCCAGGGCCCCTGCAGTAAGCGGGGAGCAGGGCCGCTGCCCCTGCACACTTTGTTTATTTATATTTCTTTCGGGAGAGAGAGAGAGAGAGAGAATAGTGGGGGGGGGGGGGGGGGGGGGAGGGTAGAGAGAGAGAGAATGAATGGGGGAGGGGCAGAGAGATTGAGAGAGAGAGAGAGAAAGAGAGAGAATCCCAAGCAGGGACTTATTTGGGGCTCGAACACACACAGCGTGAGATCATGACCTGTGCTGAAATCAAGAGCCAGAAGTTCAACCAACTGAGCCACCCAGGCACCCTCCCTGCTCCCTTCTAATGAGCAGTGACTAACAGGGACCCAGCGCAAGTCAGAGTGGGGCTCAAGGGCCTTCTTAACATTACCTCTGTTCCCGCACCACATCCACCTGGAGAGAAAGAACACCCCCATTTCCTCCCGTCACTGTCCTCCACATCCCCGCCCCCCCCCCGGCACCCCCCCAGCAGGCCTTGCTTCCTTGTGTAGGTGCCCAAGTGCATCAGCCCCTGGATGGGAGGACTGAGCTAACGCGTCTCTGTCTGCTGGGAAAGCATTCCTCAAAGGGGGGTGGAATGTGTCCCAGAGGTGGGCCCAGGTGACTTGGGCCCTGTTCAATTCTTTTGCAACTTTGTGACCCTGTGAAAGGGAAAGCCTCAGCACGGTGCTAACATGTCTTTCAGAACACCTTTCATGTTCGCTCAGATTTGAACAGAGAGGTTGAACTTCAGATCCAGAGCCTTCATGGGCAGCAGTTTCTACCCTTTGGAAACTCCAAATTACACATACAGGGCACACAACTCACTGATGCCCTGTTCATGCTTTTTAATATTTATTTATTTTGGGGGAAAGCACAAGCAGGGGAGGGGCAGAGGCTCTGAAGCAGGCTCTGCACTGACAGGCTGACAGCAGTGAGCCCAATGTGGGGCTTGAACTCACGAACCTCAAGACCATGACCTGAGCCAAAGTCAGATGCTTAACCGGCTGAGCCACTCAGGTGCCCCCTGTTCACGCTTTTTAGTTCTTTACTCTCTACGTTGCATTTTCGATGGTTCCTATTGCTCTGTCTTCAAGTTCACAAATGTCTTCTTCTGTGATATCTAATCTATGGCAAAACCCACAGTGTATTTTTCATCTCGGACATGTAATTTTCATCTTTTTCATGTCTCTACTTAATTTTTTGATCATGTGCAGTACAGTTATAACTGTTTTGACCTGTGTCCTAATCCAAATGTCTATATCACTTCATTCATTGAGTCCAATTTCCTAGTTTCTCTGATTAGATGCTAAACGTTGTGCATTTGATATTGTTGGGTACTGGATGTTCTATGTTTTTTATAACGTTATTCTTTTTTAAATATTTTTTCATTTTTTATTTATTTTAGAGAGAGCACAAGAATAAGAGAAGGGCAGATGGAGAGAGAGAATCTAAAGCAGGCTCCACACTCAGCGTGGAGCCCAATGGGGGCTCAATCCCACAACCCTGGGATCATGACCTGAGCCAAAACCAAGAGTCAGACACTCAACCAACCGAGCCACCCAGGCTCCCCTATAACGTTATTCTTGATCTTTGTTCTGAACATGTTTAAATTATTTGGAAACCATTTGATTCCTTCTTGTCTTGATTTTTAAGATGTTTTTTAGACAACACCCAAGCTGCCTTTAGTCTACACCTAATTATACTCCAATACGGACACAAAACCTCCTTAGTCTCCTACCCCATGAATTATGAACTTTTCCATTCCAGCTGGTGGATGAACACTATTCCTGGCCATGTGTGCCAGGCACCGTTCCCTCCACTCTTTTCAGATGGTTCTTTCCTCCCCATCATCAGCTCACACACATGCTGATCGTACTCAGCCTCATAGTTGAGGGTGTGGAGTTCTTTGTGTGTGGCTCCCTCCTCTCCCCACTCGGTACTATGAGCTCCTGCCACTGTGGTCTCCCCAGACTTCCAGCTCAATCTCCTCAACCAAGGGAGCTGCTGGGCTCCATCCAGGTTCTCCCTTCCCACACCACCGCCCGGAAGTACTCTAAAGGCAGTAAGCTGGGGTGATCATAAGGATACCCTTGTTTCCTCTGTTAGGGACCACAGGCCTTCCTTGCCTGATTTCCACTACCTTGAAAACTTGTTCCTTATATACTAGCCTTTTATTTGGTTGTTTCAAGTAAACAACTTGAAAAGTAAGTGTTTCTTGTCACTCCATCTTGGTTAGGAGTAGAAGGCTCCTGTTGACTCCTTCGATTGGATTTTATAATTTTCTTCAGTAGGTCTTGTCCCTTTTCATTGTCTGACTGAAATCTAATTTTTATTGTTATTCTATCTCATCTCCATCCCTAGGTACTTATTTCTAGAGTGGGCAAACTGTATGTTCACATATGCATATTGACTTTTGTATACGTAACACTTATCAACAGATGTCCTGAAACTGAACCATGCATTGGTCATCAATTTACTTAGCCGTGAGAAACAGGAAGACGAGACGTAAGCACCTAGCCATTCGGCAATGCCACCAGGGACTCAAGCTCTGCTCCACACTCCTCAGCACGACTTTTGTTCTCATGCTTGTTACCTCATGGCACAAGATGGCTGCTACAAGCCCAGGCCTCATGTCTCTGATCCAAGCAGGAAGAGAGGAGAAAGTAGCAGGGAGTGGCAATTCCCTTACCAAGAAAGCAAAAGGTTTCTCAGAATAAATTAGATGTCTTCTTACCCAGAACTCTAACATTTGACCATCTGTAATATCAAGTCCATCTGGAGAAGCAAACAGTTTAGCTGGAAACTTTACACAAATCCACACACACACACACACAAAAACAGGGTTCTGGTGGGTAACAAAGAACAGATAATTGATATTGGATAGGCAGATAATAGGTCTACAAGCTACTCTTACATTCTTAAAATAAACCTTGCTGGCTTATAATGAACTATGCTTTTAAGTACACTTGACAATGTTTTGACTTTTTCTTTTTTTTTGGCTATTGTAACACTCAGGACCAAAGACTTGAACAAGAGAGTTTAAATGGAAATAGAAACATATTCAATATATTTTCAGAGGCAGTATCAAGACCTTGTGATGAGACCTGGTTAACTGCACAAATGGTAGAAGCAGAAACAAAAGAAGTACAGAAGGTGCTACGTGATTATTTTTGAGAGCGCATGTGCACCCCACATGCATGGGGGGTTGCAGATGGAGAATCTTAAGCAGGCTCCCCACCCAGTGCAGAGCCTGATGCAGGACTTGATCCCATGACCACGAGATCATGACCTGAGCCAAAATCAAGAGGTGCATGCTTAACCAACTGAGCCACCCACCGACCCCAACTGCTACATAAATTTTAGATGGAAATAATCACGCATCTTCAATTGTCTTTAAAAACAAATGCTGATATATTTATGAAATTTTCTTTCAGATTTTGAATGCCTTCGTTAGGTAGTTAGCATTTTATTCAACACATAGAAAAAACTGTACCAATCTCTCTGAACTCTTATTAACTATTGTTGTGAAAGATAATTTCAGATACTAAAATATTTACAGACAAAATTATAAATTTAATATCTGCTTCAAAATAACATGGGACTCATGGAGGGGAAAGGAGATAGAAATGAAGATGAAACCAGACCAGCTGGTTGATGATTATTGAAAAAAGGGCACTGGGTATACGGGATTCATCGTATTATTCTGTCTTCTATTACCTGTTCTAAATTCCCCATAAATGAACATTTTTTTAAATGTTTATGCAGTGAAAGCACATAGTTTAGCATATATATATACACATGTATACACATACAACTATTTGTTTTAAACAATAGTGTTTAGTAGGGATTCTATTCCACAGGATATTTGCTTTGTATAAAAGGAACTGTATATACCAACATTCACAGGAAGACAGTTCTGCTGCTTCCTGAACTTGGTCCTAAGCAGCCGTGGGTAGACAGAGCCCTCCCGCAGCCACGGCCGCCTTCCTTCCTCACTGTACTTAGCTCTGGAGTCTACAACCTCCAAAGGTTGCCAAGTTCAGCTCTAGATTTTGTCAAATTCATAACAGTAGTCGAAGCAACAATGACTGCATTTATATACGCTAATAATCTGAAGCCCAAATGTTTCAAAGATCAGTCAAGTACATTTAAAATACATAGAAAAATAATTAGTATTTATACAAAGCAGATTTTTACAAAACAAGTACACTACATCTTAAAATACATCTTCTACCCAAGCACAGAAATGGGGGAAGATACATGGAAGTATATGTTTAAGAAAAACATTTATTTCTAAATGCTGATTTGGAAGGCATTGTAGACTGAGTGCTGGTTTCCTGGTATAACTTTGAAGAGAACTTCAATTTGCCAGCATTCGCAGGCTTTTAAAAAGAGTTCCTGAGAGTTCCTGAAGGAGATTAGACCGCTGTTCCTCTTTCCAAATTCTGTTTAATTTCAGCTGTATATTTCCCATAGAATCTTTCTGCTTTCTTGTTGAACTTGGCATTCCGTTCATTAATGTAGTCAATGTCCGCATCGTCATTGTAAGGCCGTCTCCGGCTGTATTTGTCTCGTTTTTCAATTCTGGTGGAAGGAGAAAATTTACAAAATTCAAAACTGCCTTCTTTTCTTGTTATCTTAATAACACATAGCCAAGTAGTTATAAAGAGAATCAGTACATTTAGAATAGCACACTTGGGGCTTGGGAGTGGGGGCAGTTTTCATCAGCATCAAGTTGAAACTGCTAATTGACAGCACAAGCATGAACCCTGAAATTCAATAAATACAAACTCATTTTCAGAACGCTTCTAAAAGAGCAGCAATATTGTTAGCAGCTGGACACGTGAAATTCTACTTAAAAAATGATTACAATATTTATATTAATAATAACCACAGCTAATATGGAGTACAAAGGTACTAGATACCGTATGTATGTACGCACTAATTTTTTAATATTTATTTTTGAGAGGGAGAGAGTGTAGGCGAACATGAGTGGGGGAAGAGCGGAGAGAGAGGGAGACACAGAATCTGAAGCAGGTTCTAGGCTCCAAGCTGTCAGCACAGAGCCCGATGCGGGCCTCAAACTCATGAACTGTGAGACCATGATCTGAGCTGAAGCCAGAGGCTTAACCAACGGAGTCACCCAGGTGCCCCAAATTTTTAATAGTTACATATATTCATTCCTAAAATGTAAATTCATTCTGCTCTGCCTAATATTCAGCCGTATCAGTATTAAAAAACACAAATATAACAAAGGTACATTTACTAGAACATTCGTACTTCTTTGAACAATGAACTGAGGATGAAGGTAAATGCCCTTAAAGAATAATAATTTTCTTTGGACCTTTTCCTGCTTTAGTTGTAACAACTCAATTTCAGCAATATTTTACATCTCCGTCCCAAATCGCACGGACTCAATGCACACTTGCTGTCTGTCCCCAGTATCACTACAGATGCTGAGTCAGAAATGAGCAGCATAGCATCTGCTCTTTCAACTCGCTCTCAGCGCACTACATCCATTTTGTCATGAAACATTTAAATTTTCAGGCTGCTGTACTGAGTACTCACTGCTTCTCCAGATCTGTGACCATCCTATCGACCTCCTCTGCTGAAGGCACATGTGTTCCATGAAGAAGACTGTTGGATGTTGGGAAAAACTCTTCTCCACTGAAAAGATAGCAAAACAAATTCATAGTGACACTACACAGTTCCAGATTTTCAAATTTCAAACTAAACCATCAATCCTGGGAAACAGTAAAATACATACCATAAATTACTGTGGGATCCCACCTTTTTTTTTTTTTTAAAGAAAAAAAGAGAATTGGAATGGACCTAAGACATCACCAACTTCCTCCAACACCTTCATTTGTCAGGTGAAAGAGCCAAGCCAGAGGTCAAAGGACTTACTTCTGGGTTCAGGTTCTTTCTCTTCCCACCTGGGAAGGTGTCAGCGAACTATACCACCTGGCTTTGCAAACCTTTCACTGGGCCCAGCCTCAGCCACTGGTTCCTGACTCCTCCATGGCTGCCTTCACATCACACCAGCGGAGCAGTCGTGATGGCGACCAAAGAGTTCACAAAGCCTAAACTATCTGCAGAAGAAGTTCACCGGTCCCTCCTAAAATATCTGAGTCATTATTATTGTCAAGGCCAGAAAGCACTGAGGCAGCTGCTGACAACCTGTACCCAAGCACTAAGGTGTGTTTGTCTCTATGTATGTGTCTACGTATGTCTATACAACACACACACACACACACACACACACACACATACACACACACCCGCCCCCCAGGTCCCTGTGGAATGAAAACAGGACTTGTATTAACCCTGCCAACTCACTGTTTGTCTCTCAGTCTCTCATACGTTTCCATGTCGGGTTTGATCTGCTTGGTCAGCCGGTGATACTGGCGTAACTGGGCAGCAGCATAATCTAAAGATCAAAGGAGAATCAGAGAAGACAGATTTCCCTGTTTTGTCATTATGATCCTGAGAATATCAAAATTAGTAGTAGTAACATTTGCATAAGACACTAAGCAGAGCCTCTGCCCTGAAGATGCTAATACTGGCTTTTATTACCTTTACCGCAAAGAGTAAAAGAATCTGGCTAATTAAAGTACAGCCTCTCTTATTTCTGCCCTAATGAGACATATTTGTATTTTTCTTGGGTTCAAGCCTCTTGGAGAATGTTCCGTGAAGGGGCAGAGACTTTCTTAAAACCACAAACACTAAAGGTAATGCTTACCTAACAGGGCCAGTCAAGAAAATACCAGCTTTGGGGCGCCTGGGTGGCTTAGTCGGTTAAGCTTCCGACTTTCGCTCAGGTCATGATCTCGCGGTTCGTGGGTTCGAGCCCCGCGTCGGGCTCTGTGCTGACTGCCAGCTCAGAGCCTGGAGCCTGTTTCAGACTGTGACTCCCTCTCTCTCTGACCCTCCCCTGCTCACGCTGTCTCTCTCTCTCTCTCCTAGAAATAAATAAAAAGAAAAAAGAAAAAAAAAAAGAAAAAAAGAAAATACCAGCTTTACCTGAGAATCCCAGGTCAGGGTTCTTCCTCTTCTTCTTCCTCTCCCACCTCTCCGCATCTTCTGCGCTGATCTCCAGCAGCTTCACTTTCTCATAGTCCTCCCCTCTTGCTGCACACTCCTAAAAAGAAAGAAACTGTTAATTCCTGCAATTATGATAAAAGCAATTATTTGATCTGTTTTAAATCAATGTTGAATAAAGATACTAAGCGATACTTTAAAAATAATGATGAATACTTGAAGCAAATCTGGGAACCTAATGTGTATGTAAGAAGTGAGTGCATCAATTTAAAATACTTATTCAATTCAACGTTTCTCAGGTGTCAGACCCCCTTTTAAATGTTTTACAGGCACTAACTCGTTTAATTTGTAATTATCTCAAATAATTATTTAGTCTCCATTTCACAGATCAGAAAACAGAGGCACAGGGAGGTTAAATAACTCCCCCAAAGCGCTGCTCCTAGTAAAAAGCGGAGCCGCCACGTAGACTTGGGCAGTCTGGGTCCAGAGCCAGTGGACGAAATCATTGTCTACACTCTCGATACAAGAGAAGAACTGGATAGACAACTTATGGAGACAGCGGAGTAGAGCCTAACCTTCTTCCTTTCTTCTTCCTGCAGTTCCCACTCCAGACGAGCCTTTTTGGCTTCCCAGTTAGCAGGTAACTTGAGTCTTTTGTCTTCTTCAACAACTTCCTGGTGATTCAACTTACGAGCCTCATTCTAAAACCGTAACACAAAAAGTCTGTCAGCTGAGACACAAAAATAAGTCCAAACAAAATCTTGCCCACTTTGAAAAGGTCAGATGAGACACATTTACGAGGGGACTCATTATCCTAAAAGCAACAGCCAAAGGATTTTAAGCACAGGAACAGACTGTGTATGCGTACGGTCAAAAATGTGTTGGGCCGCAGTAGGTTTGCTTTTCCAGAGGCCTGGAGGTTAACGTCAGCTGTGCCTCCATTTAGCCATGTGAACCCTCTGCACTTAGGGTTGGACTGGACTAGGTGCAAAAAGTAAAGAAGGCGTGCTTAAGAAGACTCTGGATGACATGAAATACAATTACATCATATGAGGAGAAAGATATTCTACTTTCAATTCTCTTTTAATCCTGATTAGTTCAAGGAACAAGCCTCAACTTGGGGCTGAGGGCTTTAGCACCAATCTTAATATCACTAACCTTTCCCAAGTCTCTCCTCTTTTTAAAGTATTTTAATAGTTTACATTATGGCAAAAGAAAGGTATTTTCCATTTTAATTTCTGTATGAAGAGTGTGATTTAAAATGAACGTAACTGGGGCCTCTGGGTGGCTTAGTCAGTTGAGCGTCTGATCTCATGGTTCGTGGCATCAAGCCCCGCCTGAGGCCCTGCACCAACAGTGAGGAGCCTGCTTGGGATTCTCTCTCTCTCTCTGCTCCTCCTCCACTCGCACATGTGTGTGCTCGCTCACTCCCTCTTAAAAACAGACTTAAAAAAAAATGAACTTAACTGCACAAAGCAAAATAAGTATATCATCTTAAGGACAACATAAGTTACATGCTTCTTAGGTCACAGGTCGGTGGCAGTCCAGGAAGCCACATCTCCTAATTTCCAACCACACACACTTTACACGGTCCCTCCAAGTAAATATTTAAGCGTGTTTAATTCTTTCGTAGCTTTCTGTGGACAAAGAGAGGCACTTCTCTCAATTACCATCTCTCTTATGTTCTTGTACTCTTGGCTCTGGCTACTCCCTCCAGTTGAAGACACCAAGAACACGCCAGCAGCCACACAAAGTTGTGTTTGTTGCACCGAAGGAGACAGCAAACCATGGGGAACTATAGGCATTCCAGTGAGAGGCTGTGACGAGGGGCTGGTTACAGGATTTAGGTTTGTATCAGGTAACTGAGTGGGGGGTAAGGTTCAAGAAAGTGGGGTTGTGTTCTGGATTAGACACTGTCAGAGAGGCAGGGCATTCGATGACTGGGTGTCGTAAGTTCTACAGGATGAACAGGGGGAGACTAATGCTATCACTGGTCCTAACAGTCACTGGCTTTAACAGAAGGGGGACAATGTGTGGTCGTTTCTGTGGTTTGAACGGTCTTGTTTTGGTCTCACTCCACCAGAGTGATGGAGGTTTGTGAAGGCACAGCCAAACTTTCAGGCAACTTAAGTTGAAATAGGCTGGAGGCGCTTTCTCCTTCCTCAGCTCCAAATGCAGCCAGCTGTTTGCTGGACTCTTGCTCTAATATTAATTTCCCTACTTTGCATGTAGGAGGCACTCCCAGAAACCCCTCAAACTGTGTCCATCTCTCCTCTGCACTCCCAGGGCACTTTGCTCCTAACGTTAGCATGTCATGTAACCCTGGCTATCAAGCGGGCCCTTCTTCTTCAAAGCAAAAGCCGTATCTTAATCATCCAGTTCCCCACCAACTAGGTGACCCACGGACACCACACACTTGCAGAGGTTTGCTGATTATTTTTGAATGAACAGGCAACCAGCTCTCTTATTAACACTGGAGGTGTTTCTTCCAGTCTCCAGCTCTACATATCCCCTAGCTCAAATGAAGGGTTTGCTAGACTTACACAGCAGGGAGGCCGTCAGTAATAGAACGCCCCCCCCAAACCTAGCCCCGATTAAAGCAGAAGTGGGTGGGAAGAGGATTAGAAAGAGCGTGTGTATTTTCAAAAGTGATTTGAATCTGTTGCCAGGGTTGAGAACCACCGGGACAGATATTTCATTCCACTCGGCCCGTCTGCCAAGCATGTTTCTGCAGCTTGCCGGTACCTTCACGAACTGGCACGGGTCCGTCCCAGGGGACCAGCCTCAACTGCCAGCCGGGCTACTCACCCGCTTCAGGTGCAGCTCCCGGAACTTGCGCAGTCTCTGTTCGCGCTTCTGGGCGGCCACCTCCGCAGCCGCCGCCAGGGGCTGCTCCCCCTCCTCCGCACTGTCCACAGGTACCTGCGGAGAGGCAGACCCGCTGCAGGGGGTGGTCGGCTCGGCTTTTCCCGTACCATCCAGGCCGACCCCCCCCCCACCCCCCGTCGGTCCTGAGCGGCCGGGCAAGGCCCTCACTCCAACCCCGACTTCAGTGTCTGCGCCTCCCTGGTCCGGCACCCAAGCATGTCCTCCGTCTCTGGCCTTCGCCGTCCCCCGGAGCCTCCCCACACAAAAATCCTTGGGTCCAGCCGGCGGAACTTACCTTTTCGGCTAAAATTGCAGCCGCCATCACAACCCTCCTCGCCACTTCCGGCAACAACTCAGAACACTTCCGCCCGCTTTTGGACCGCCCCGCCAATATATAGGAAAAAAGCCACCATGGGCCCCACCCCTTCCTGGCGGCCTCTAGAATTGGGACCAATCCCTGCCCTTGTTAGCAGTACGAAGTTTTCAGTTGGGTAGGGGCTTGCGCAGCCGCAAAAGGCCGCAGAGACAAGGGCTGGGAGGGGTGAAGTGTGGAGAAAAAGGCCGGAAGCGCTCGGAAGCGGATGGCTGTGAAGGGCCGGCGAACCGAGCGGGTGTTTGGTAGAAAGTCACCGCGATTGCGTGCTCCTCCCTGGAGTAAAATGTGTTTCCCGTTCAGCGTTTAGCCTCAGTGTCACCTCCTGCGAGGCAGGCGTCTCCTGACTACTTGGCTCCCGTAGGCCCCTAGTACTGTCACATGGCACCATTTTCATGTTCTTCGGTAGTGGAAGATACTGTTTTCTTCTGTGCCTTCTCCTTTTCCCCCGTTGGAGAATTGTATAACGTTTCTGGACGTGAGAGACTCCATTTTGAGAGAAGCTCCATTTTCATTTTTAAAACAGCTAGTGAGGGGCTCCTGGGTGGCTCAGTCGGCTGAGCGTCCGACTTCGGCTCAGGTCATGATTTCACAGCTCATGGGTTCGAGCCCTGCGTCGGGCTCTGTGCTAACGGCTAGCTCAGAGCCTGGAGCCTGTTTCAGATTCTGTGTCTCCATCTCTCTCTGACCCGCCCCTGCTCACACTGTCTCTATCTCTCAAAAAGAAATAAAACATTAAAAAAAAAAAAAGACAGCTAATGAACTCTCAAACTGAGCAAAAAGACCTTTGGGCTGGGTCAGAAACAGCAACTGTCTTAGAGCAAGTTGTTCCTAAAGTCAACAGGGGTACTGGCATCTGGCGCACAAAACTGTCAGTGTGGACTTTCCGAATACGGAGTAATTAATGCATACGAGGAATAGTTTGGTTCATGAACAACAATAAATCAGTCCAAAGTGTAACCAAAAGCCGTTCAGCCTGTTAGTACCAGTTGACTTTTGTCTTCTTTTCTCCAAATCATGTGATTGTCCACCTTCCCCTTTCTCATAAAAACCCCTTGCTTTGCCCACACAAGCGACACATTTCTCTGGTTGTTGCTGGAATCTGTGCTGCCCAAACTGGAATTCTGAGACCCCAATTAAAGGCCTTTGTTCTTTTCAATTTTGCCTTCTTTTCCTCGGTTAACGTTTTTTTATCGTTTATTTTTGAGAGAGAGACAGAGCATGAATGGGGGAGGTGCAGAGAGAGACGGAGACACAGCACAGCACCTGAACTCGGGAGCGGTGATCTTGACCTGGGCTGAAGTCAGTCACTTACCCCACTGAGCCACCCACGCACCCCTCTCTGTTAATATTTCTGGTGTCAGAATGGGGTGAGATAAAGCAACAAACCACTCCTGCGCCACCACCACGATTGGATTTGAGCAAAAGTGTGCCCTAACCACTCCCCAACTGGCTCTGGGTTCTGGTGGTAAGTCTTCTGGGTTCCCAACCTCCCTTTTTTGGTTGACGTGTCTTTCTGGTGCCAGTTTCTATCTGATTTACAGAGATATTGTCTTTTCTCTGGCGATTTGATTACTCAGTGGGGTGTTGATTTCAAAGACTGCCGCTGGAGAGCAGCGCCTGTCTGGAACCAGCCCAGCTGTATTTATGTTCAATTATTATGGGTCCATTTCTTGTAAGTTTCTGTCTCGCTGGACCAATCTGACTGAAAATGATTTGTCATTACAATGGCCACTTGGGGGATGTTTTGAGATTCCAAAATTAATTTATTTGCACGCACATTTGGAAAATGAAAACAAAACCAAGCATCTAGGGTGGGAAACATATGTAAATTGGTATTTGGAGCGTCCAAGAATTAAATCATTCTAAACTTGCTTCCTTATAAGAAAATAACTCTAAACTTTCTAAAGCTAATGGTAACCACTCTCAGAGAATATCGAAACTAGGAGAGCTGATGGAGTCTTCTGAGCTAAAACCTACTGCTCCTCTTCAGCCTTCTCCATCCGGTCTCCACGCATGTAAACTCCTGGTCTAGCGGAACTCTCATTCTATAATGACAGCCCAGAGGTTCCCCTACATCCTCCAGTCATCCAAGACTGCTTCTAAAGTTAAACCTAATGAAGGAGGCTCTGGAATGTCATCAGTTACTTATGCTTCTTGGACTAAGGCAGAATTAAAAGCCATTACCAAGGATTTTCCAATGCCTTTGAAGACCCTCTAGGATTTGCTCAGGAATTCAATTTAGTTATTTTCATATAGTTAGTTCACAGTTAGATCTGTGAACCGGGTTATTCTGACCATTATCAACTTATCTATATGTTTGTGAGTGATGGCCATGCAAGGAAATGGATGGGAAAACTAGGCTACATGTAGCATTTGGATGAGTTTTCTAAGTGAAAAGCTACAGGAAAAAAATAGAAGCTTTTAAGCAACCTGAAGAATTACATAAAACTATTCCTGGATTTTTTCAAAAACTACAGATTAGAGAAAAATTTAACAATGTACTCCACGGCCAGATGGACCTGGTTTTGATTATGATAGGAAACAACTTTTAAACGATACTATGGTGTTGACAAAATTAAACATGACATCTCCTTTTCATTTAACTCCATCTTTGCTAACAGGTTAAAAGGTGAACTCAGTACCTTAGTTAAATGACAGCAACTCAGTCAGGCCACTATGGAGCCTCATGATCAGGTTAATTTGGCTGATCAGTTATCTAGCTCCCCAGAATGAGCAATGAAAAAGAAAAGACACACAAGTCCAAGCTGCCCAGATTGTGCATCTCCAATTACAACCATTAACAATCCCCAGAAATTCCCAAAATCTTCAGGGTCCTTCTCATGTCAAAGGTGTTTGCAATTACTGCAGGAGAAGCTGGCCGTTGGCAGAGGCTTGCCGCAAAACATCAAGACAAAGTCAGCAGCAAGAGCCTCAGAGCACTTTCCCCTCAAAGGACACCAGCAGCTGGGGACGAATACCCATATGGCAGAACAGGGTAGCTCTGAGGACAGGGGCGGGGGGTCTTCCCATGACTTCGAACTGACACTGTAGAGGAAATAAATCTCACTACTGGGAATGAGGTGACGGGGACTCTTACAGTCCCGGGAGGAACTACATCAGTTTTCAGACTCGCCAGCCTCTCCGTCCCACTTCCTCGGAGTACAGAAACACTTCAAATGGTGGGATACCCCATGACAGCTTTTAAATCCTAACCTACCCTTTTTTTCAGCTGGGGCCTTTACAAGGCACTCATCGATTCCCTTCTGGTCCCTGCAATTCTTATTCACCTGTTAGGCCACAATTTTCTTGAAACTGATCAGGCACACATTTCCTTCTCTCAAAAAGGGTAAATGTTTTAAAAACAGTGTTTGGGGCACCTGGGTGGCTCAGGCTGTTGAGCCTCCGACTCTTGATTTCGGCTCAGGCCAGGATCTCACCATTTGTGAGCTGGAGCCTTGCATCAGTGTAGAGTCTGCTTGGGATTCTCTTCCTCTCTCTCTCTCCCCCAAAATAAATAAATAACTTTTCTGAAGTTTAATAAATAAATAAAAAGTGGATGCCTGGCTGGCTTAGTTGGTGGAGCACCCAACTCTTGATCTCTGGGTCATGAGTTCAAGCCCCATGTTGGGTGTAGAGATTTCTTAAAAGGGAGGAGGGTGTTTTTGGAAATAGCAAAACAGCACACAGAAAATTCTACAGATAAGGAGCCTACATCAATACCCTTCTTTTCTGCAATTCAAAACCTACAGCACCCCCTCCTGGACACTGTCCCTGACACTCTTTGGTCCAAGTCCTGCTGACCTCAGACTTAGATACACTCTGCCCCTCCCATCCAAATGATCAGGTTGATCATTCCTAACCACTCCCTAACATTAAACAACATCCTCTAAATTCTGAAGCTATAGAAGGGATTAAGCCTATAATTGAGGAATGGATACATAAAGGTTTGACTATTCCATGCCCTAGTCCTAAATGCCTGTTCTTCCCATACCGAAACCTCACAGTGGAGGATGGAGGTCTGCACAGGACCTCAGAGCACTAAATAACATTGCCGTTCCACACCACTCACGTGTGCCTAATCCTCACACCTTACTTTCCGCTATTCCTCCAGAGAGCAAATCACAGTAGTGGATTTATGTAGTGCCCTCTTCAGTACACCTATGGACTCAGAGAGCTAATTTTTGTTTGCCTTCAGCTGGGAAGGAAAAAAATCTACCTAGACAGGTAGATCTCGAGGTTATACTGAGAGCCCTACTTATTTTCCCCAAATCTTAAAAGCAGACATAGGGGCGCCTGGATGGCTCAGTCAGTTAAGTGTCCAACTTCACGTCATGATCACATGGTTTGTGGGTCTGAGCCCCGCATTGGGTTCTGTGCTGACAGCTAGCTCAGAGCCTGGAGCCTGCTTCAGATTCTGTGTCTCCCTCTCTCTCCGCCCTTCCCCTGGCTCATGCTCTGTCTCTCTCTGCCTCAAAAATAAATAAGCTAGGGGCGCCTGGGTGGCTTAGTTGGTTGAGCGTCCGGCTTTCGCTTAGGTCATGATCTCCCAGTTCATGGGTTCGAGCCCCGCGTCGGGCTCTGTGCTGGCTGCCAGCTCGGAGCCTGGAGCCCGTTTCAGTCTGTGACTCACTCTCTCTCTGCCCCTCCCCTGCTCACGCTGTCTCTCTCGCTCTCTCCTAGAAATAAAAATTAAAAAAAAAAAAAAAAAAAGAATCCAAAAAAAATAAATAAGCTATAAAAAAAATTTTTAATAAAAAATTTAAAAAAAGAAGAAAAGCAGACATAGCTGATGTAAACTTCCCTCAAAATTCTACTTATTACAATATGTGCACCACTTCTTTGCTCCCCTCCACAAAAAGCGTGTTCAAGGGGCGTCTGGGTGGATCAGTCGGTTGAGCGTCTGACTTTGGATCAGGTCATGATCTCACAGTTCATGGGTTTGAGTCCCTGCATCGGGCTTTGTGCTGAACGTTTGCTCAGAGCCTGGAGCCTGCTTCAGATTCTGTGT